TCAATAAAATTAAATCCAAAATCAGAACATAAGGACCCATCCCAAATAATATTTATGTGTATTATTCATAATTTATTTTCATCTATGATTCTAAATATGAAGACACAAAAATAATTACCCAATTGCTGAAAATTCTAAATAAATATTTTCCAAAGCTGCAAAAAAGCTTTGAAAATCTTCCACTGAAGTGACTAATATTATAAATTAGAGCAAAATTTATTAAAGTACAAAAAGCTACAAATGTACATAATTATATTAATTAAGCATATAATCAGTTCTTTATTCTGCAGAACTTTCTTTCAAATATTTATTGATATTTTCTCCTATTCTAACTAGGTGACTCATTTATATAAACACCACATTCTAGCTTAAAGGTGAAACTTAAAAATCAAATAATTCCTCACCTGTGGAGAAAATGGAACCACAAACTCAACATTTTCATTTCTTGGAAAATATTTAAAAGAGCAAATTTTCCAAAAGTATCCAGTATTTCCTTCGATTAGCCCATTGTGACTCTCTAAAGCACTATTTCCCAAACAGTTATGAAAATCTCAGGAACACTCTCCATGTCGTTCTACAGTATTTTTCACAGAACACAATAAAGTAGTATATAATGACCTTGGTTTAAGATTTTAAACAAAAGGATTTACTGAATCACTAATATTATAAAATATTGAATGGAAGCAAACTTCATAATACCATCTTAAATAACATTCTACCAAGATAAAAAGTAAAACCAATTTTGATTTTGCCTACTTAAAAATGATATTAATCATCTTTAGCTAATGTAAAAATAGTTATTGTATGATAACTATTTAATCTAGGTCTCCTATTTATAATTTATAAAATTACCTACTTTTGTGTTGGATTTTAAGAATACATAAAAATTAAATGAAAAATGGTGTTATGCCATCAAAAATAGAGGGGAAACTATTTTCATAATCTGATATTTGAAATTTTAACTTTTATATTTAAGAGAAGTCCAGCTAACTTATTTTTGTAATTTCTGTATTTCTTTTTAAATGACTGTCTATGAGAAAAGGTTGGCAACCTCAACCTAGTAGACAACTCTTTGAATACATAAAAAGTCTTTTATTTTGCATAAATGAAAAACCAAATTTGATTTAATCACACTATATACTATCTTTTTTACCATTTAGAGTACTAAAGATATCATGATATACTATATAACAATTTGGATCAAATGAGTACAATTTACACATCTTGGAATAATTGTTTTACAGCACATTTACAGTATTATCATCTTTATGCTTCTATTCTTTCAATAATGATAATACTTATATTTTAATTGCTTTAGTAAAAAAGGTGTGTTTTTTTTTTTCTTTTTTACTAGTAGCCAAACTCAAAACACTTAGAGCTTCATATAGTGGCATATCACTCCTTTGGGTCTTATTAAGTTGTCACATAGCAAATATCAGTGAATCTTCATTACTGACCAATAATTCATTGGTCACTATTGAAATTATTTAATAGATAAAAGTACCATATGAATTATGACTTTAGCTGAGTAATAAATCTGAGCAACTGACAGATTTCCTGCTAATTAGTTAACCGATATTTAAAGTTTTCGAACTAACATATTTTAAGTGAAAAAATTGCTTATTTTTTTTAAAAAGGTAACTTTAAAAAAAATCCTCTTTTAAGGATATAAATTCTCTGGAACATCATTTGGAAAATGATGTATGAAAACATTAAATAATACTAGTCTCAGTTTGGAATATAAAGTTTAAAGAGAGACTGATAAGAAAACTAAAATATCAAACATTGGAAAGTACCTTCTAGTTTTCTGCAGTAATAGAATGTTCAGTATGTTATTAATGTCTACAATCAAATTTTACAAAATATTCTCATATTAAAAGTATAATTCATCTGTCAGAAAAACTATCTAAATCTTAGAAACAGACAAAAGAATATTACTGGTGTTCTTTCATGCAGTGTTGGGCTTATATCTTTGATTGACTTTCTACAGACTGACCAGCAGGTTTCAACCTCTGTAGGGGTGAAAATTAACTTGTAGATTTTGTCCAGAAGAAATGCAAATCCTATCTCTCTAGTGAAATTGGTAAATTTATGTCCAGTGGAATAAGAAATAACCTCAAAGTTCAAAACTTATCTGTAGAACAATAACTAATTTTGTATCTAACTGGGCAATCTTGTCTGCCTATAAAAACCCTAAATTCCTCAAATGGTCTTTGAACCACACCTTACAAATCACCTCATTTATCAATGAGTTGAATAATACACTTGACTTATGTTCATTTTATATTTGCATGAGAGTCATGATTTTACATTTAGGAAAATTATATTTTAACATATGCTTTATCAATTTAGGAATGTGATGGGGATCATATTCTGATTCAACTGTTAAATAATTATTAATTATTTTCAAATTCATCTGCATGAATATTCTATATGGATGGATAACATTAAATTTATGAAGAAAAAAGCTACTCAAAGCAGCTATCATTTTACTAAGCAGTATCAGATATATTCCTCACTCCCAAAGAAATCTGAAACCTAATAACTAGCACAAAGGGGACCAGAGTAAAACATACTACAGAAAGGAAAATAGAAAAAAAATCACTATCCTAAACAAGAATTTAAAACTTTTGTCAATCGGCCTAGGCAAAGAGTTTATAAAGAAGTCCCCAAAGGTAATCACAGCAGCAACAAAAATAAATAAATAAATGGGACATGATCAAACTACAAAGCTTCTGCACAGCCAAAGAAATAGTCATGAGAGTAAACAGACAACCTACAGAATGGGAGAAAATTTTTGCATCCTATGCATCTGATAAGGGACTGATAACTAGAATATACTTAGAACTCACAAAAATCAGCAAGAAAAAATCAAATAACCCTATTAAAAAGTGGGCAAAGGACTTGAACAGAAACTTTTCTAAAGAAGACAGAAGAATGGCCAACAAACATATGAAAAAATGCTCAACATCTCTAATCATCAGGGAAATGCAAATCAAAACCACAATGAGATATCACTTAACTCCAGTGAGAATGGCCTTTATCAAAAAATCTCCAAACAATAAATGCTGGCCTGGTTGTGGAGAGAGAACACTCCTACACTGCTGGTGGGACTGCAAACTAGTTCAACCTCTGTGGAAAGCAATATGGAGATACCTTAAAGCGATACAAGTGAATCTACCATTTGATCCAGCAATCCCATTGCTGGGCATCTACCCAAAAGATCCAATGACACTCTACAAAAAAGACACCTGCACTCGAATGTTTATAGCAGCACAATTCATAATTGCAAGGCTGTGGAAACAGCCCAAGTGCCCATCAATCCAAGAATGGATTAATAAAATGTGGTATATGTATACCATGGAGTACTATTCAGCTCTAAGAAACAATGGTGACATAGCACATCTTATATTTTCCTGGTTAGAGCTGGAACCCATACTATTAAGTGAAGTTTCCCAAGAATGGAAAAACAAGCACCACATATACTCACCAGCAAATTGGTATTAACTGAACAGCACCTAAGTGGTCACATAGGTACTATAGTAATAGGGTATTGGGCAGGTGGGAGGGGGGAGGGGAGTGGGTATATACATATATAATGAGTGAGATGTGCACCATCTGGGGGATGGTCATGCTGGAGACTCAGACTTGTGGGGGGAGGGGGGAAATGGGCATTTATTGAAACCTTAAAATCTGTACCCCCATAATATGCCGAAATAAAAAAAAATCAAGTGAAAAAAAAAACAACAAAAAAACAACCTTTTGTCAAGTTCTTTCATAGGAAATAAAAACCATAAAAATATTTTAATAGTAAAGTTCTACATAAATATTACTTTTTCCTTTATTTTATATATGTTAGGTCAAGATATAAATCAAGTAACTAAACCACAATATTATATTAACTAGCAAATACCATGATTCAACAAGTTTAAAGAGAAAGATAATTGCCATATAGTCTTTAGTCAAAACATTCATTAATGTTTTCTTTGTTCTGGAATCTAACTTGTAAAAAGACTCAAAACTTGTTTCTCCTTTACTCTCATTCTTTCATCTGTTAGTAGAACATTTTTCTTTTTTTAGTAAAACATTCCCAAAGAACTTAACACTAACTTTCATTCTGTAAGCACTAATATGTTTTATTTTTCTTTTGCTTACACTAAGAACGTATGTAGGATTCAGAATAAAGATGTCTTTATATGTATTTGTGCATTTAGCAAACATTCACACATGTAAACATGGCCATACATATACTATTTCTATGTGTAGGTCTGCTTGTAACTGCTGGAGAATATTTTTCTCACTAAGGGAAAATAAGTTTCTACAAAAACTGGAAAGAATCAGAATAGATAGAGCCAGAGGTGTTTCTGAGAGAGGAACATGATGAAAGTCTTTGGTCCTGCATCCTACCAATTAGTATGATCTCAAAAAAGAACAGGATCAGATACAGTATTAAGAAGAGATAAGAGAAGAAAGCAATTTATTATAGAATGGTGACTGGTTACCATTACTAATAAATAACACTTTTACTGTCATGAGTGACAATAAAGAATAGAAGGGTAGAGATCCTTTTGATTATTAGTCTCTAAATTTGAGGATAAGATTAATGCCAGTACTGCTTCAATTTTATCTTATCATTAGATAAACTATAAATACTATCATCTAACCAACAAAATCTATCAAAGTCAGCAGGTACAATGCTGCTGAAGAACATAAAATACTTGAATATATAACATGTGAGTTGCTAAAAAGGAAACTGAACATGTAGGTACCTATTTCAGAGATAGAGAGGATACATGGAGAAATATTAAGATTAGCAATGAGAGATAAATATTCAATGGTTAATGAAAAACAGAGGAGAAGTGAGTGCTAACTATATAGAATTATTACTTCAACACTGATTAAGCATTGCTTAGTAACTAATGCTGAACAAAATAACACCAGCAAATCCTATTTTTAAAGATATAACCCACTTCTGTTCTTTTTTTATAGTTTATATTTACCTCAAAGCCAAGTCTATCCTTTTCTTTCCAAAAACAGAAATGTGTTACTTTCTTATCCCAGAATTCATCTGGTTTCACTACACAAACAAGGGACACCTCAGCTGGAACAACATTCTATAAAATACAGAAAAAAAAATTACAAATTACACATGTAAAATGAACAATTTACTAAATTTATAAATTATTAAATATTCATAATTAGGCTAAGTAAGAGACCTTTGGAAAATAACTAAAATAAAGTAGAACAAATTCTCCAAACTTTGAAACATACACAGCAATAAAGAAATACTTGAAAGAAAAGCTGATTCAGAAAAGATTTCAAATAATATAACACAGCTAGTGCATGTGAATCATTTTACATTGATGTACAAAGTACAGGCTGGGTGCAGTGGCTCATTCCTGTAATCCTAGCACTTTGGGAGGCCGAGGCGGGTGGATCACTTGAGGCCAGGAGTTTGAGACCAGGCTGAGCAAAATAGCAAGACCTCGTTTCTATAATTTTTTTTTTTTTTTAATTTTAAAAAGTAGCCAGGTATAGGATGCATACCTATAGTCCTAGCTACTTGGAAGGTTGAGGTAAGAGGATCACTTGAGCCCAAGAGTTTGAGGTTGCAGTGAGTTATGATGACACCACTGCACTCTAGACCCATCAACAGAGTGAGACTTTGTCTCAAAAAAATAAAAAATAAACAAAGTACATATTTTTATTGAACCTTATACTAGGAATATGTTTAAACTGTAAGACTTAATTTTTAGTTGAGAAATTATTAAATTTGATTTTTCTATGACATGAGAAAAAAAATTCTGGTACAATCATCTTGGAGAATTTCTTCAAAAGAGGTAAAATCAATTTTCTCACAAAATTTTCTCATGATTAGTAACTTGAAGAAGACAAAGAGCTAATCTTTGACAAATACAACTTCACATTTACAAGATAAAGTTATTCATATAACCTAAAGAGAAATGGAAATTAACATTTATTGAATTAATAAGTATTCCACATATATTTTTATCAACAAGTCTCATAGAGTCTAACTTTAAAATATATCTTAAATCTAACCATTTCTACCACCTGCATTGTTAATAACCCCTAACTAGCTAGCTTTCTAAAATATCCTTCTAACAGGCCTCCCTGTTTGACATGTCTCAAGCTTAGAATGAAATTCAAAGTCCTTAACAAGACCTATAAGGTCCCTGTTGACCTCTCAGACCTCACCTCACACCTCTCCCCTACTAGCTCACTCCTCTACTATAGCCATACTGACCTTCTCACTGCTCCTGGAATACGATAAGTCTGTCCCCACCCCCAGGTCTTTACCCATTCCCTCCATCTGGAACGTCCTTTGCCTTATACCTAGCAGTGCTCCCTCAGTTTATTTCAGAGTCTATTCAAATATTCCCTCTTCAGAGAGGCCTTCCCAGTCCACCCTATCTAAAGTGGCACCATCTGACTCAGTTTCCTTTTACTGTTGCATTTTTTTTTCATAGTATTTATGACCATCTGACAGTACATTATTTATTAACTTGCTTAATTGCTTACTGTTGGATCCCTCAAGTAGAATATAAGCTGCCCAATGGCAGGTACCTTATATGTCATGTCACCCCTACATTTCCAGTGCCTATGATAGTTTCTAACATATAAAACACACTTGGTAAAAAACTGTTGAATAAATAAAATCCTCATTAACAAGCAGCTCCCACTCTCCGGATTTGACAGAATAGTAATTTGAGCTTCAGAGAACTATAGTAACTTGTCTAAGGTAACAGAGTTAAAAAGTCATGAAGCTAGAATAGAAATCAGGTCTGGGCCGGGCGTGGTGGCTCACGCCTGTAATCCTAGCTCTCTGGGAGGCCGAGGCGGGCGGATTGCTCGAGGTCGGGAGTTCGAAACCAGCCTGAGCAAGAGCGAGACCCCGTCTCTACTATAAATAGAAAGAAACTAATTGGCCAACTAATATATATAGAGAAAAAAAAAAACAAAGAAATCAGGTCTGTTTGATTCTGAAGTTCTATCACATTAATTCATATGTTCTAGACCAGGAGTCGCTAAATTCTTTCTGAAAAGTTCTAACAATAAATACTTTGGACTTTGCAGGCCATAAAGTCTCTGTCTCACCTATTAAATTCTGTTGAGGTAGTGTGAAAGCAGCAATAGACAATATATAAATGAATGGGCCTGGTTGAATTCTAATAAAACTTTATTTATAAACTCAAGGGCCCAACCTCTGTACTAGACTATAAACAACACCACCGAATAATCATTTTTTAAAGGAGAAAACAGAAAACCTTTCAATGTAAACATGTGGCACGTTATAAATCTAGTTCCCCTACAATGATTGGGCTATGACTAAGGCAAGTAAAATTAATTCAATGTTATCAAAGCTTTTATCAGAGGGGCTGGAAAATTTAAGGTTTGATTTGAAGTTTACTCACATATTGCCTTGTGTAAGATTATTATTAGAAAACCATTGAATATGAAAGCTGTGAGAAACCAGACAAACCAAGCCCCTCATTTTAGAGACCACTAGTTATAGGCAGAGCCAGTAGTGACATCTGGGCTCCCAAACAGATGGTACCTGTCCCTTTTGAAATAAAAGCAATGAATGACTTCATATGTAGGAATTTGTCTGATTAGAAATAAACGGGCCACTGCAACTTCTGAAAATGTTAACTATTAATATATCCAAAAGTTGTTAAAATACCTATCAGAAAGAAATCACAAGAAGGGATTAAATCATCCATTGACTATTCCTCAAAACTGCCACTGATCAAAGTCCAGCAAGTCCCAAATAGCTCATCTGTGACACAGTTGAGTGACAGGATGAAAGGAAGAACACAGGGTCATAACTAATGGATTTTTCACCTAACAGTTATTTTAACAACTTTCACAGAGTAGAGTTAATCTTCGGGATTGGAATATAAAAGTGCCAAATACATTTTTTGACAGAAAGTTATTATGGGATGCCAATTTGTGCTCCCTTAAAATCTGATCCTCCTGGGCTATGTCCTTTCTAACATATTAGAGTGATTCCAACATGGAAAGTTTAGGTCAAACATTTAAGAAGAGGCCGGGCACGGTGGCTCACGCCTGTAATCCTAGCTCTCTGGGAGGCCGAGGCGGGCAGATTGCTCGAGGTCAGGAGTTCGAAACCAGCCTGAGCAAGAGCGAGACCCCGTCTCTACTATAAATAGAAAGAAATTAATTGGCCAACTAATATATATAGAAAAAATTAGCCGGGCATGGTGGCGCATGCCTGTAGTCCCAGCCACTTGGGAGGCTGAGAAAGAAGGATTGCTTGAGCCCAGGAGTTTGAGGTTGCTGTGAGCTAGGCTGATGCCACGGCACTCATTCTAGCCTAGGCAACAAAGCGAAACTCTGTCTCAAAAAAAAAAAAAAAAAAACATTTAAGAAGAACAAGGCAAGAGCTAGATAATTTGGGGACTATCTCAAATACAAGTCACTGGTAAATATAAACCTTGTAATGGATAAAGCCAAGTCCTGGGGTTTAAGGTGTGCCAAGTTCCAATTTTAAATTATCTAAAATTCTGGCACCTCAGTTGAACTTTGGGGATAACAGTCCTGATGTGCAAGGTTGTGAGACTAAAATTAAATGAGCTAATTTATATAGCAAGCTTACTTCACATGGTATCTGAACCGTATTAAGTGCTAAAACTAAAAACTAAAATTAGCACTTAGTTGCTACCCTTCTAAGTCCTTTTTCTCAATTATCATATATAAATGATAAAACATTAAGAATCTTCCTAGTTATAATTTAAATTTTTAAATTACATTCCTTTTTGTTGAACCCTAAAGCAGCTGCCAATTATATTTCTCAAATTCATTTAAAATTCTTGATCTTTCTTTTAATATCACTGACATTCACCTAACTGAATATTCACTATCCCATGTTTCTCTCAACCTATATTTCCCCCAAAACTGGCCTGCCATCAACTCCTTTCATTGTAGTTGCTCCATTTTTGAGCTATAACTAAGAGTTCCCACTAGGAATGCCCTTTTCACTTCCTTTCTTTAAATTAAATAACCTCTTTTTATTTAACTCAAATTTACCTCCCCTAGAAGCCCTTTTAAGGAAAGCCAGGTGCATGAGAATAATCTGCCCCTCCAATCACTTAAATATTTTATTTTTCCATTTCAAATCATAGTATCTTCAATACCCTAAAAATAAATCAACAAATGTTTACTGAGCATATACTACATGCCAGGGAACACAGAAACATTCTTAGAGGAATACAAGGAAATATAAAACAAAAGACTGGCATCAGAGTCAGGGACTTTGTAATCATAGGTGTTCAATAAAGGTTAATTGTTAGCTGCCAAAATCCCAGAGGACATAGCTGTTAAGTAAATTTCTTCTGGGTTATAAATAAATAATAAGAACATCATAAATACTGATGCTTTGTAGAGGAAATAGAGAACTAGAAGGAAAAGACATACCAGAATCACTTCCTCAAACTAAACTTACTCGATCTTGCTACCTACCTATAGTAACAAAATGGGCTGCAGGGGGGAGAATGGTACAGACATCATACAGTGCAAAACCTCCCAGGTGAGTCTGATAAAGTCTGTCTCCACACTTTTAAAATCACTGACCTTTGCCTAAATTACTTAAACATGACATATAATTTTCAATTAATGACAAACCTTCAGAATAGGGCTGAGATTTATTTCACGACTTAAATTCAAACTTATAAAAACTGAAGTTGAACAATCAAATAGTGATATGTGCATTTTCAGAACTCAGTCACTGCTGAGAGGCCTGACATAGTTCAATAAATGAACTATGCATTTCATAGTTCAAATGCATTTGCCATTTTCACCATGATGTTGTTGTAAAATAAAAGCCATTTCCTGACAGGCAAAAATAAAATTACCTGTAGCATTAAGACCACTGTTTTTACCACATTCCATTGTGATTTCCTGCCATCCACGATCACGGTGAATCCTCTAGCCTTACACTTTTCACTAAAACAAAACAAAATCACAAAGTATTAAAACAAGCTCCAGATTTTATTCTTCATAATTTTAAAGAAAGAAGGTTTAAAATGTAATCATATACAGAATAGAATTAATCTCACATGGTTTGGTTTACATTGTTAGTAAATTTAAAAAATTCTTCAGCATATTCTTTCATTTTCTCAAGCAATTTATTTTTCTCACTTCAGGAAATGTTAACAATTTACAAGCTAATCTGGCAAGAAAATTACTCTAGAAGCATAGAAAGTATAAGTCTTAAAAAGTGAAGAAATCAAAGCAACATTCAAGCAGGGCTACTAGCTTCTCAGTTACTTCATCTGTAAAATGGGATCACGGGAAAGTAGGTAATTAATGATGCCAAGTGTGAAATATACTAGTCTCTCCTTACTGCCAGAAGCATTAGATTTGTGAATTGATAGTTCAAAATAGGTAGAAAATAAATGATTATTAAACCACTGAAAGTGGGCTTTTTGGTACTCTTTTTAAGGAGCTGAGGTAACACCTGCTGTACATAATGATTCAAAGCTGAACAGATCATGTCTCATTTACCTCCACTCTCATTTTTGTATTCTCAGTCACTGGACCAGCAAAATATTATTCTGTTATGTGTTATTCCTATGTTATATTTAATTATTCAAGTATTTACCAAACATGTCCCAGAAATTTAGCACAGTAATATGCAACAACTTCTGTAGAGAAAAACTTCAACTAAAGATCAAACTTTACATAGCTATCCTTATTACTATTGCTATTTTACTGATCAACTTAATGTAAGGATCTTGGGTGTACTCTTTCCACTCCAGTGGAAGGAAATGCACCTTTGCTTAGGAGAGCAAGCATTTAGCAGTGAAAGCTGTCCCCATCCAAAGATTTCATAATTACATACAATATAGGAGAGGTAAATAGCAGACTTTTCCAGGGATTTAAACCCAACGATAGTCCAGGGGGTTTTACTAGTCCTCCCTACTCTCTCTAAGTAGTCACATTACCTCAAAGAGGGCTCTTGGAAAAGTCATGTCCAGTTCTACTGAGAAACAGTGAGATCATGAAAATGATGATGATAGGCAAAGATAGAAGCTGAGCTTCCAAAGTAAACAAAAAAGAATTCAAATAGTGAGCAAATTGAACCATACAGCCACACAAAAACTTGCACATAAATGTTCACAGCAACATAATTCATAATAGCCAAAGAGGAGAAACAATCCAATGTCCATCAGCTGATGAACAGAAAAACAAAATGTGATTCAGCCACACAATGGAACATTCAGCCATAAAAAAGAATGAAGTACTGGCACATGCTACAACATGGCTAAACCTTGAAAACATTATGCTAAATAAAAGAAGCTAGACACAAAAAGACATATATTGTATGATTCCACTTATATAACATGTCCAGAAGAGGAAAATCCACAAGCACAGACAGCTGATTAGTAGTTGACAGTGGTTGTGGGGAGGGGACAATGGGAAGTGACAGCAGTACAGGGTTTCTTTTGGGCTGATGAAAATGTTTTAGAATTAGTGTGACTGTGTTCAACTCTGTGAATATACTAAAAACCACTGAATTGCATACATTTAAAGGGTGATTTTTATGATATGTGAATTATATCTCAGTAAAAAGTAAGTTAAGTACTCTATTTTTGGATTTGCATTACAAAATAAGGGATCTACTAGGTACAATACAATGGTCACTTCTAAGTTAGCAAAAGCAAATAAAGACTTGGACAGGGAATCAAACATGACAGCGAATTACAATCTGTGGGCTCAGGTCATGAGGGAATTCTTGGAGTTCCCCCACCAGCAAGGCATCTAGGAAGACTATCATGACTTAGGATACAAGCCCGAGGGAGATCAGCCTAGGCAGAGTAGCTGGCTGTTGAGGGGTCTTTGGAGAAGCAGCAGCAACTCAAGGGACTACCAATGCATGGTAGAACTCTGCAGGAAGGAGAACTAAGACACAGAGCTGGCCAGGGGAGGGTCCTCCCACCAAGAGGAGTGTACCATTTCCGTAACATGGTACTCTCTAGTCATTGGCATCCACGTCTCTGAGATAAAGGTTATGCAATCGTTTTGTTAAATAAGTTTTACACAAAAACACAGTTATATTTCAAAGTGCAGTATAAATTAATCTGTACATTAAGACTAATAAAGTAATGAAGTTTGCAAATACCATCTGCAATGATCTTAAAAAGCCATAAAATACTCTAAATTTATCTTGTATTTAAAAACACCCTTAGTCATAATTTTCTCACATTTTACTAAGCTAGACAATGAAAATATACACGACACAAAGGTAACTATTTCAAAACTGTAATACCAAATAGTTTCTCACGTACTTGAAAAAAAATTAGTTTGGGTTTTTTTTTTTTTTTAACTTCATTCCTACAAGCAGAAGGATGGTTTAAATTGCTTTTAACAACATAACTTAGAAGCATGTTATGCTCTTTATAAAGGGCATATTGAAGAACTAAAGTGCTATTAATAAATTCCTATACTACTGTTAACATGTTTATAATTATACTTTAAGAACAGAAACAAAAAGAAAATCTAAGACCCTACCTCCTTGTTCCTACTCCGTTAGAGCCTTTCAAGGGTGATGAGGCTGAGTTAGAACAGCTATGTAAAAGAAGTGAGGCTGCTTAACAAGCTCACTCACTTTTCACATAGAAAGGGATTGTCAGTGATTTCCTGGGGTCAGTATCCTGCAGCTCTTCACTCATTTCTCTCATTACAGCTGCGGACTCCTCTTCCACTCATAGAGCTCTGCTTATACTTACATAATAGCACCAATTTCACTTATGCTTTTATTATAATTACTTGTTTACAATTTATCTTCATTGGATGTCGTGCTTCCAGAAAGCAAGAATATTATCTTACTAAAATCTTGGCAGTTTCTAGAACAGTGCCTTAAATACTGAGGGCCTTTAAAAATATTAGATGACACATCACATCACTCCTCAGAACACAACAATGGCTTTCTTTCTTATTCAGAATTAAAGCCCTTTCCATGGCCAGCATGGTCCTCTGTGATCTCACTCCAGTCGCCCTTCCTGTCCACCCTCCCAGCACTCTGCTCATCTCTCAAACTGCTCCAGCTACATTAGGCTCCTTGCTGTTCCCACAACATGCTAACCCTGCTCCTGCCTCAGGGCCTTTGCACTTACTGCTCCCTCTGTCTTGAATGTCCTTTCATCACTTATCTGTGGGGCCTGCCCCCCATTTCAATTATCTCTGGTAAATGTTATCTTACCATTTTGTAAAATATCACCACATACCCTCTTCTCACTCCATCATACTCCTGACTCTTTTCAAGCTTTGTCTGTACAGCACTCATGAATATCCAACATATTGTGTGCTTACTTGTAGTATTTGTTTGTGTGACCATTAGGCTGTAGGGTCCATAAGGAGAGGGACTAGATCTGCTTTGTTTGCCTATGAGCTCAGGCCTAGAAAATTGAGGAGTTCATTGTAGACTCTCACATATTTACTATGTGACTGAAGACTTCATGTCTGTGTGACATTTGAGATGTCATTAAACCTCTTCATTTGGATGTTTCTTCTATCCCATAAACAAGTTTTCTATAATTAGAAAAACTTAAATAAAAAAAAAAATCAAAACTTGAGAAAAATGCAAAGGTATCTTCAACATTGTCTAGTCAAGAATAATCTGCAAGTACTTGGCAGCATTTCTCTAAAAAGGCTTTAAATACAGCTAGGGTGGTTTTCCATGATTCTATAATTGGATGATCAATAACTTCCCTTTGAGCTAGAAAACACTGTAATTTTAAAGGTATACTAAATATACTGTTCAAAGAAAATGTGAGAATAAAAAAGATTTTCAAGATTTCTTTTAAAAGAAATTATTTCATAAGATGTCTTTTATAATATTTATTTTATATTCACAGAGTTATTTTCATCTGTCAATTATCAGTTGTGATAAATCCAGGTTTTATGTAAATTTACTAGAGGCTACCAATAGCTATGGCAACAGATAGCTATAGCAGTAATCAGAAATACAGAATTGGAGTCAGAAGGCCAGGTTCAAATTCCTTCACTAACTCCGGTTTGCCACATGCTCTTAGTCAAGATACCTAAACTGTCCACCCTTCCTATGCCCCAGTTCCTTAACCTGTAAGATGGGGATGAAGATGATAGTACTCATCTCATGCAGATGCTATGAGAATTAAATAACTTAATGTTATCTATTATTTCCTTAAATATGAGCTATTCTTTTCATATCTCTGTCCCAATCATCATCGTAAGTAAATTCTGAGGTCCATTTTGAATTTAAAGTTCTAAAAGGAAGGCAAGACCAACCCAGATAAATGTTTTATCCACCAAAATAATATCTACTGAGCAGACAACTTCTGCTCATGTTTATTTGATTTTCTAACAAAATGTGAGATGCTCTGAGAATTGTGAGTTACCAGGTCCTATAAGCCCATATTTCAGTATGCATAGCTCTAAAGAAACAAGTAATAAAATAAAATAAGGGCAGATTCCATACCTACTGACTACTGATCATTGATGAAGTATGAGGTACTGCACCGGGCTATGAAAATACAAATAATAGGACACAGTTTCTCTCCTCAAAGAGCTTAGAATCTTTTTGAAAGTTGTAAAGGTGGGCAGAAAAGTATTTTAATTAGTATCTACTTTATATTCACAGACATTATCTCATTTAATGTCTTTAGGGAAACAACATAAACCTTTAGAATCTTAAAAACATGTAAGACTTAAATAATAAATATAAAAATTCAAGAATTACCATTAAGCACATCCGGATTAAATGCTTAACAAGTCAGAAACAGCAAGTGCTGTAAGTGTAGAGAACAGATGGAGGAATCTTGCAAGTACCTATATTAAGGAGCTAATGAAACTTAAAGTAAAAGGACAGACAGAGAGCAGGAAAATTATGAACAAGGATATCATTTATTAGTCTGGGAAAGTTTTTTAACTTCTCTGCCTTGCCTTTTTCATCTGTGAAATGGAGATAATAACAGTTATCTATCATATCAATTTATTTTGAAGATTTAGTTAATAGAGGTACTTAAAACTAAGTGCCTTGTATAGTAGGTGTTCAAACTACATTAACTGAAAAAGGTGAGTCAAATCAAAGAAGGTCTTGGCACAGCAGTTAAGAAGACTGAAAGAACATCCTCGAAAGCAAAGACCTGGCCTCTCTTGTCTATACAGTGCATGATACACAGTGTCTGTGCCTGCTAAGCAAAAGAAACAGCTGTTGAACGGAGGAGGAGAAGGTCAGAGGAAACTGAGAAGGATGATGGAACTGCTGTTTTGGTGAAATCAGTATTGTACTTGGGTGCAAATCAGGAAAAGAACAGGGATATAGAAACTAACTTGGCTATTGCTTGACAACATTGGCCGTCCCTATATGTGAACTTAAGCATAAGAAAAGAGAACAGAGATGACAGAAAAAAAAATACGTGGCAAAAACAAGAAACACTGATTCAGCTGTCACATTTTAAATGGCACCATATAAATTTTCAATACATATTTATGGAATAAATAAAATGAATATTAAAAAGTTACTCATCAACAGCATAAAGCAAGTTCAGAGCACTTAACTATAGTGCTTTGAAGTAACTCTAAGATCAATGCAATTATGTCTCCATTTGCCATAAGTGCATTTATTAAGGAAGAAAAAGGAAGGCAATGATTCTAACTTTTTGTTAAGTTTGTCCCTTAAAAAAAAAAAAAAAGTATAGTACAGCCATCCAAGTTACACTCTCACTCTCTACACTGACCCTTCTAAAGTCTACAAAGACAAATAAATGATCAATTAAAGATGTTATATTCATATTCAAATTATATTCTCCTTGTTCTGCAAATGAATAGAATGGTTTAAAATAAAATAAACTATTGTGTCAATAAAATGCAAATATATGAAAAAATACAAAGAATTGTTTACTCTAATTAAAATGTTTAAATTCACTAGCTATACCTTAAGAGCATTATATGAGACAGTTTTATTCGTTTTTATATCTCTACATTTTACAAACACATACACACATACCCAAACACACACACACACACACACACCTGCCCTCATTCTCATGCTTTACTGTAAATGGTTTGCAAATCTGGATGCACATTAGAATTATATGGGAAGCTTAAAAGATTAAAAAAATATGATGAGCAGGCTTCCCAAGAACAACTAGATCAGAATCTCTAACAGCAAAACCACAGGCATTAGCATTTTGAAAAAATTCTCCAGATGATTCTAACATGCAGCCACACTTCAGCTCCCAGATATCAGTTATGGAACAGGAAGTTGAGAAGGAAGCTTTTTTGTTTTTGTTGTTGAAGTGATGGGTAGACTTGAGCAACTTTTTGTATTATTATGTTTTTAAATAAAAATATTTTTAAACTCCTAATAGACTTTCTTAACTCATTAAAACCTGCAGATGTATTTATATCAATATAATACAATCATTACCTAAATAAAAGATGGTTCTACTGAATTAACTTCTCTAATTTTTCTAAAAAGCCCCATGATATATAAATGCTTAATCATTATGTTCCTAAAAGTTGACATATACTTTGGAAATCTGTATATCATTAAGTGTGCAAGAGCATAAGTATTTAATCTGTGATGGTGTCATAAGTCATTGATTCTACTAATAGTGTTTTTAATTATAATTTCATTGCTAATAAAAGAAGATAAGACAGCAAAAGTATACTTCAACAATAGCAGAAATCAATAGTAAGTGAATGAAACATTAAGATTTAAAAAATACACCTTTAGAGTCACCTTGGAATGCTGAGGAGGTAGTCTAAGGTGACACTCAGCTCATCCATATTTGTCTGTTCAAGGCATAATGGAATTGTCAGAATGAGGCCACTTCGTCTGTCCTTTCCTCCTATTAAAGAAAAAAGATATGAATTTAACATGTAGTAGATACTAAGGCATTATCTAAATAATATATACTGAATCCAATGTTACTAAAACAATTACAAGTTTCAGACATAATTTAAAAAATATCTACTGGATAGTTATATATTATAAATGTTTATAGTATATAGCAAAATTATGGAAAATTTAGAAAACATAAAGGAAAAAACTTTACTCATGAAATCTTCACACAAATGTAGCAATTATCATTTTATTTAATTTTCTCCCATTTAGTATGCTTCTTATTTTTATCAACTCATCAAACATCTATTATGTGCGTAGCACAATAAGCATTTGCAAGTAAAATAAGTTTCCAATCAACCTAGGAAGAAAAGATTTCAGTCATAAGAAATAACAGTAGAAAATGTAATAGTTTATTTGCTAAGTTGCATTGTATCAAATATATTGTAAAATATTATAAAAAGGGATTTAGAAAATGGTAAGAGCTTCAATAAATATGAAAAGTTTCATTAAAAGGTTAAGTCTTAAAAAAACAGGGTAGAATTTGTAAACCAAGTCAAAAGAGCATTCTGTCATGAGGAATGATCTGAGTTAATTCACAAAGGTCAGACAGGGTCTGAGATACTGAAGCCTGAAAGCCAGGTAGTAGAACACACATTTCATGTATGTTCAGTCCCCTTCAGTTTGTCATAAGTGTTAAAATATAACTTTTAGGAACTTTTATACACACATAGCATCTTTGAAAAATCTCCTTATATGCCTGACTTTCATACTGAAGAGCCCATCTTCTGACCCAACTGACATTTTATGGCAATTCTAGATGAAGGAAACAATTCTATATGATTTCTAGAAATCTGTCATAAAATTGGAAAGGTATGAAATGAAAAGACTCCTGTTAGTGACATGAATGCAATTCATGACATGCCAATCATAAATGAATTTCTGTCACTCATTAGGTCAACCATACAAATTACTACTACCACTTTAACATAGTAAATGGCAATTTCAGATGGTTCAACTTAATAATCAATAATGACTTTAGGTGCATGTTTTCTTGTTTAGAATAAAAGTTTACTTTTTTTAAAAAAAATGGATTAACACAAGTAGTTTTTAGATTGTATCTCCTGAGCAATTCTGTTGGTTTGAAAAGATTTTATCATAAAAAAGTTTGAAAAGTACTGGCTTAAATATTCAAAGATCAAGAGAGAAAGTTTAAAAAGGTAGGCTACAGGGTCTTTTATCTACTCCTCAAAATTGCTAAGCTCTATCTATGCATTAAACCAAACCTACAAAAAGGTTAACATCTAGACTGGGGCACTCTGATCCACTGTTACATAGGACTGCTTTAACATTCAGGACTAGATTTAACTCCATGCCCCCACCTTTCACTAAGGGACAATAAAATAATCACCAGTGTAAAAAGGGGTGTACAAGAGGGCTGTTGCAGAAGCCAAGAGGAAAAAGACTTTCAAAACAGGTATGGTCAACAGGGTCAAATGCTGCCCAGAGACAAGTGTCACAGGATGCAAAAATGTCTGTGATAAGATTATTTCACTAATGTCAACAGTATGGAAAACAGGCATTTTCACATACTGTTGGGGAAACAGAAATCTAAATGATCTTCTTGGAGGGAAATCTGACAAAATCTAACACAAATTTACATGCATATCTCTTTAACACTTTCATTTATAAGAATTTATACTACTGAACTTATATAAAATGCACAAAGCTACAAATAAGAACGCTTATAATACCATCCATATTGGAAAAGAATGGAGAAAATGCAAGTGTCGACCAGTGAAGGGAGAAGTTAAATTAAAAAGAAAAGAAAATACATATTAAATAAGGAAACAATACTATTAGTGGGATTCAATCTCTTATTTTGCCTTTTATAATCTACATTAGGAAAACATGCCAATTTACAGAGATGTACAAATATACTTTGAATAAAAGATATTAGTATTATCAAGACAATTATGACAAGACCTAAAGAGGAAAGAAAGAGAAAGCAAGGTAATACAGTTGAAATAACCCTAAATTGGCAGGGCCACAGTATTTCTAAAGCATGTGCTTTGGAATGATCCAAACTCCAGATCACACTACACAATGATCCAGGAGACGAGCACACCCAACGTACCACACCACCGCTCCCACACTAGCAAAGCATCTCACGGCTTCTCCATGACCCAGCTGATATAAACTTTGGGTTAATATTAATATCTGAAGGTAAATTCAAGGCTATATGAACAATTTTGAACAGTAAAAACTGAAAACAGCGTTATTGATATTTTATAACTCCTCTAGTGTACTGAAACTTTGTCACTGGAAAATGGAAGACAAAAGCTAGGAGATAGGATATCATAAAGACGGATTACTCTATAGTTCAAAAACAATTATTTAGATGCCAGCAAGTTAATTATTAAGTTTTACATATTTGTACAAGAAGTAAGATATGACATCTGCTTTGAAGAGGCCATTTTAATCAAATTATAGAACAGAATAAAAGCTGGCTTGCCAAGACCTGGCAGAGATAGAGTTAGCTCATACAATTACCCGTTCTGATTAAAAGATATCTCAGAAACACCTTTTAAACTTTCAGAGAAAAATAAAATGTATTCCTGTCAAACTTACCAAAGAAAAGTTTAAATAAGTTTATATATCAAATACATCTAATTTTAAGAAGAAAACATACCTGAAAGGAAGGCTAGTTTCTTCTTCAGAATGGGTAATATTACTGAGGCCTCCATTTTACTCCAGTGAAGTTCCTTTTTTTCTGAAAACACAGATATTTAAAATGTCAACTACACAATAATTATTCTGAAACACATAATTATGATGGCTTATTCCAGGGTTTCTCAACCTTGGATCTCTTGACATTTTGAGCCAGATAGTTCTTTTTGTAGAGTTATCCTGTGCATTGTAGATAGTTAGCAGTATCCCTTGCCTCTAAATACCAATAAATACCACTAAATACCAACAGCACCTCTACTATTCAGTTGTGACAACCAAAGTTTCATTGTCAAATGTTCTCTGGTAGGCAAAATCGCAACTGGTGGAGAATCACTGGTTTAATTATTTTTCAGAGCAAATACTCTTGGGCTAGAACACCTCCTGGTACATAGCAGTAACTCAATACATAATATGTTAAATACAGGAATTAATCAATTGATCAATCAAAAAGGCATCAATCTTCAATTGTTTTCCTTATTAACTACTTAATACACAGCTTACTTCCAAATATCTTATTCTTTCTGCTCTACTATTAAATGGCTTTCTCTGATATTTCATATTTTTGCTTCCCCATTACACATAGTATCTTCATGTTTACCTCAAGATATTTCCTAATACACTGTTTCAATTTTTGCCCTGCTGTCTCCAACTATCCACATTTTACAGTTTTAAATTCTCCAGGGAAAAAAATCGATTAGCCCAGTTCATCTTTTTGTACCAAGCCACAATTCCCTCTTCTTGGTTCAGTTTTCCAAGGTCTACTTGGCCAGCCCGAGCTCACAGCAAGGGCTAACAGCAGGACAGTTTCTCTTAAAGGGGGGGATTGTCAGGCAGGCACTCTGAGGCTTGGCCGGCCCAGTACACTCCCAAAAAAGGATGTTGAGAAGAGTGGGACCTTTAAAATAAAATAAGCAATTCAAAGGTTCAATTATATCATCCTCTTATATTCAGTTTCATGTGTGAGAGAGTGTCCTCCATCACATTTTATCCCTTCTTCCCCATCCCATCTCATGGGGAAGATGGTGACCCACCATCACAACATAGGGCAGTTTCTTGGCATGCATTATGAAATTTTATTGCATTTAGTGAAAGAAAACTCTCTTGGAAACAATCTTCCAGCAGAGCAGAAAATATGACTCTTTATATGAAAGTATATTACTTATTCAACAAACACCTGCTATGAACCTATGCCATTTCAGGCACTAAACTATCAGCTGGAGCTAAAAACTCAAGTGATAGCCCTGCCCAGCAAAAAAAATCTAGTCTTTTTTCAAAAAATCCCAGATACTGGCTGGGCATGGTGGCCCATGTCTCTAATCCTAGGCACTTTAGGAGGCCAAGGTGGGAGGATTGCATGAGGCCAGAAGTTCAAGACCAGCCTGGGCAATATAGTGACACCCCACCTCTTCTACTACTACTACTACTACTACTACTACTACTACTACTACTACTACTACCACTGCTACTAACAATAATAACAATAACAGTAATAAAACTTAGCTGGATGTAGTGGCATGTGCCTATAGTCCTAGCCACTGGGGAGGCTGAGGCAGGAGGATAACTTGAACCCAGGAATTTGAGGTTATAATGAGCTCACTCTCACTTTCTGTATATTACTTTCCCTTTTCTGTACGTAAATTTTACCTGACCATATGGCAGCCTTAAAGTCTCTCTGAACCTATTCTGATACTGGAGGCTGCTCGATTTACAGATAGTGCTTTGCTTAATTAAACTCTGTTAAATGCATCTTAAGTATTGCTTTTAAATTAAGTTTACCAATAAATGGCTCTGAAAATATCCAGTGACATCTGGCCAAATAAATAAGATGAAGCTATAGACTATATACAAAATAAAAATATCTAGAAACATATATGTGGCATAACAAGAACATATATTTGGTTTTTGTTCTGGGTTCCTGGTACAGAGACCCTAAAATCCTTAGAATTTCCTGAGTGATAAGAAATTTGTTAGTTGTAATGAATCCCCTCCCATCACACCTGAGTTTATGCTAATGCTGTGACTTACAGTGGGGCTTCTAGGAAACCACAGGATGGGGCTTGTTGCCAAAAAGACCAAACTTTGATTAGAAGGTTGGAACTTTCAGCCTCCTACCCCTAACTCTGGGGAGGAAAGAGTACCAATGACCAGTGATTTTATCAATCATACCTATATATTAGGTCCTTAAATATGAAATGTCTGATTTCGAATCAAAAGTTTACTTTACTATATATCAAATAAGAAGCAGTACAATTAATCAAACTATGTGCCTAAACTACTTGGCTGCTTAATCACAAGCACTCTCATCATTTCATCCATTCTACTGCAGTAGACATCTGTTGTAATCGATTGACCATGTTTCATGAAGCTCTTGTGGATAATACCAGCGTTGGACCACCAAACAGACACCATTATCTTTGTTTGATGAATATTTGGTTTTGGACTATGTTTTAGCACTTCTTTTTTATCCAACCATTGTGCTGACTGCTTGCAATTGCCAAGAAGAATCCATTTTTCATCATATGTAATAATATAGTGTAGAAATGGTTCACCTTTACATCATGACAGCAAAGAAAGGCAAACTTCGAGATGATTCTCTTCTGATGCTCATTTAATTTATGTGCCACCAGCTTCTTTACCTTGCCCATTTGTTTCAAATGGTCCAATAATGTTGGAATAGTAATGTCAAGCCTTGCTGCTAATTCATGCGTAGGTTGAGATGGATTCGCTTCCACTATAGTTTCAGCTCATGCTTATCCACCTTGGTCTCAAGTCACCCACATGGCTCATTTTCAAGATTAAAATCACAAAAATGGAATTTCTCAAACCACTGATACACTATGCATTCATCAGCCACATCCTTCCCAAACACTTCATTGATATTTCAAACTGTCTGCACTGCATTGGTTCCATGACAGAACTTATATTCAAAAATAACACAAATTTTTGGCTCATCCATGGTTGTACAAAAATAGCTGTAAAAAAATTTTTGCAAGATAATCATCACAAGCCAAATGTGCATTTGAAAGACTGAGGATGTACCTTCACAATCAAAAAATAAAACAAGTGTCAAAGTGAAATGCCAGAGGTATCAACTGCCAAACTTAGTACTAAGGAAATCAGACATTCCATACTTAATAACCTAATATTAATAATAAGACCTCTGTAAAAAACCCTAAAAAGGGAGATTCAGAGAGCTTCTGGATGGGCGAGCACATTGAAGTGCTAGAAAGGTGTACACTCAGACAGGGCATGGAAGATTCAGGCACCTGCTCCCCCAGTACCTTGCCCTATGATCTCTTCTATTGGTTGTCCCTGAGTCGCGTACTTTATAATCAGCTATAATACTAATCATGAGTAAACTGTTTTTCTGAGGTCTCTGAGCCACCTTAGTGAATTATCAAACCAGAGGGGGTGGGGACATGAGAACCCCTGGTTTGTAGCCAAGTCAGACAGAAGTGTGGGTAACCTGGGAACTCAATACTTGTGAGTAGCAATCAAAATGAAAGCAGTCTCATGGGACTGAGCCATTAAACTCTGAGTTTGACACTGACTCTGGGTACTTACTGCCAGAATTGAATTGAATTGTAGGACACCCAGGTGGTGTCTGGAGATTTAGAAAATTGGTTGGTGTTAAGAAAAAAAAGCACTCATTTGGTGCCAGAAGTGTTGTCAGCAAAAATGGTGTGTGTGTGTGTGTGTGTGTGTGTGTGTATATATATATATATATATATATATTTCTATATAGTTATAAACATGCCACTGGATTCGCACCAGCACTTTTGCCAACCAATGCTTTTATACCATCAGTGCAAATGTCAATACAGGAAAAAAGGCAAATAATACCTAAGAATTATTATAAAAAATAGACCTCATGGACCCCTGGAAAGCTACCAACAAGAAAATGGCTGATCTAGGCTGTCAATGGGATGCTCCCACAAAGGATTTCAACCTTGAGGGAGTAACCCAGTTGCAGAGACAACTCAGTCTTAGATACAGAACTGGCTTCCTAATGAGATTTCTCTTATGGTATGGAAAATTCTCAGCTGTTTTTTAATTCCTTTCTGTTTTTCGAGCCCATTTCTCCATCCTTCTCATCAATTCTGTAAATTATACAACATCTTTCCAATAAATCCCTTTTCTGCGTAAGTTAGCCAGAGTAGACTTTTTTAGTCAGTGGAGAAATCTGATTGGTATAAAAAGCAAAACGAGTTTAGTAGACTGCATCTGATCACTTAAGCTATTTTTAAAAAATCTTTTGCCATTTGTTTGGAATAAGAATGCTCATCAATACATTGAGGTTTTAACCCTTGTCATAGTAAAACCCAATTAAACAGCCAGCACCCAAGAGATAAGAACATCTGGAATCCCTAAGATCCCACAAGGCATAAAAGAACAATAGCTCTAGATGACCCTTGGAGTAAAATCTGTATTGAAGCATTACAAGTTAAAGTATTGATTTTATGCCAACAAGTGCTAAAGTTTAATTTTTCACCACTGTGTTTTCACCTTCTATATACTTGAAGGGAAAAGGCAAATGATTTCAGTCTCTTGGCCTAGATTTACTTTGGCAAACTATGATATCCAGAAGCAATCTTCCATTTTACCAGTCTCCTCATGGACAGGTGCTTTACCCAAACTTTCCTTTACTTTAGACAACCACCTCAGCATGGTAAAATAGTCTTCATTTTTCTAATCCAACAGCTTTCTGTTGTTGTTTTGTGTTAAAAATATCCTGAAAAAGTAGTTTAAAGTAATGAGAAATTCAGGTTTGAGGGTGTGTGAATCAAGATCAAATGAACTGACAGATAAAATGTAAAGCAGTCAAGGGACAAAAATAATTATGTTTACCCTATATCTTTCTCCCTTCTAGAGTCCCCTTACCATCAATCTCTTTCACTGTTGTCACAAAAGAGATGGGTAATGAAAAATAATTATTACTATACCACTGCTTCGAATTAAATTTAGTGTTTCAAAAGTCATTTGTTTTAAGTTTTCAAGTTTTTAGCACAGCCATAAGAAAAAAAAAGAATTTGCTTCTCTCTGGCTATTTTAATATCTCATAGGATAGTTAAAATAGATAATGTAAAAAATACACAAAATAAAGGGAAAATCTTGCAAAATATAACCAATCATCACCATCTCTACAATAAAATGTTAAATAACACAAAGACACCAGCTCATGTTCTTCTCTAATGGGATAGATAGAGATCTTTGTATTCCACAAGAAAAGGCTTATTAAACCTTAATATATATGAGTGGATTATACTTTCAAACAAGGAATGAGGCCAATGATGAACATTTACCTGTCCTGAAATAATAAAAAGTAGCAAGGAAAACATACATTTTTTTAAAAACTTGCCAAATAAAGCTGACTAAGAAATGGAAGAATCAAGGAATTCACAGCATACGTAAGAAAGAAAAAATAAGTACACATCGACTATACTTGTCATATTTCATAAATGGTCATTTAAAATAGGACCTATTTTAAGTAACAATTTATTAAATATAAAGGAGTCAAAAAGCCAGAGTTTATAGCAGATGAAGTGCCTTGGAGACTGGTAAATATAAACAAAAATGCAACCATGACTGTGTGTTACCTTCAACCAAAAGCAAGAAGCACCAGAATAAATTAGTGTCATTGCTAGGTGCAAAATAAATCCTACCTGCAACAGAGCCCCTTTAGGAATGATGAATTCTGAGAACTAGAAATAAAGAGAAACTAGGTTTACATTGTTATCTGTATCCATCTTCTAGTTTGATCATATTTCTCAAGATTTAAGAGAGTTAAAAAAAGGGAAAAAAGGGCAACCAAGCAGTAATTAAGTCTCTATCTTGTTTCCCCAAGAGCAGAGACCAAGTCTTATTTATCTTTATATTGATTCATTCATTCCTTCCCTCATTCAACAAATTTATACAAGGAACCTACTGCATCAAAACAAGACTAGATGCTGAACATATGTGGCATTCCAAAATATCTGATGAATTAGTGGAGAGATAAAAGAACAATAAAATAAACAAACTTTGAAACAAACAGTAAAGCAAAACACTTTCGCTACAAATCTTAGCATTATCACAACTACCTGAATGGCAAAACCTCAGGGGCAATCATAGGATTCACATGTGCATGCTTTTCCTTCAAGAAGCTCCTCCCAGCTGACTTTTTACTGGGACAGCCTCCCATGGATGCAGTAGCTACATTTAAGTTGCCGGATGCTAGAGGATGGCAGGTTCTTGATTGTGGTTAAGATGGACATCAGTGGCTACCATTGATGGGCGGCCATTAGAGGGCAGCAGAGGATGTACTGAGCTGCAGGAAAGAGGACTGCAGGCCTTTTAATCAAGACTGGGCGAATTGCATTTCATAAGAGATTGTAATTGATGATATGAGTGGGTACACTGGAACTTCTCTCTCAATAAGTATAAATCAACCAGTTTATTTGGAAAATTCAGTTAGATTCTTCGACAAGCATTTTTTAACAACCAGTGAAAACTCATTAGGATAGCCTAAGGGTAACTAAATCATCTCTAAATAAATCTACATCTTGTAGACACATAATGGCAATGAGCAAAATCAGAATGCAGGCTCCTTAGCCTTGAATTTCCTTGTATATACTACCTTGTATATACTATAGCTATAGCTATCCTCAAATTGAGATTAGAAATATCTTCAACTGTTATTACAAAGTAAAAGCAATCTTAGAGATTAAAACAAACAAACAAATGAACACATATAAGTACTCAGTGCTGCCTGGCTGGGTTCATCTTTCCACATAGCCATATATAAAACTATGCAGAAATAAACCAACATTACTCAGCTTTAGGGTAATACATCAATGAAACAAATCAACAGTGGAAAATGTATGTAATTTTTGTTATTGCAGGTGCCAGTGTATGATTATTAATCTGGTTTTATAACAATATTGACAACTCTAAATGAAAGAACAACAATCCTTCAGATAGACTTAAAACAAAATTGATAAAACAATGGCTAATTTTAACCATAAAACAGATCTATCCAAAAGTGTAACTCCTCTAAAAGTTAAAGCTAAAGTTATTACCATATAATACCATTTTTACCACGTGTCAGACCTAGTTTACTCAGTGAGGGAAGGAGAAAGGAAGGAAGGAGGAAAAAAAGGAAAGTCATGATTTTGAATTTTCTATGGAAATATTGATAGTCTACCTTGAGAGACAAGAATTTTATATTAAGGAATCCAGTGAGACATTAAAAGTCCTATACTATATTTAAACTTCAAAAATTCAAACGTCTACTGCAAATGGCGATGACAGCCCACCACTTTAAAATCCTTTTCAAAAACTACAATATAAGCAATCGGCCTTTTACCACCCTCCTCGCCCTGCCCTTCTCCTCAGAAGCTACACAAACACTGGCATCTACAAAATCAGAAGCAGAGGGAAGTCCATCCTTGGGGGCTTTACTCTCTAGCAATTCTACCAAACGCTTAGTAGCTGCAAATGTCCAGATTTTGAAGGTACAGATTTGAAAATTTCTTAACTATATAATTTTTTTTAAAAAAATCTTTGGCTCTTCTTATCTGTGTTAATTTACTGATAAATCTTCAGTTTGACTGCTTCTTCACCAAAATTAAGGCAGCAAAAAGAAAAAGGAACATTGCTTTAAAGAAGTAAATCACACTTGTGGAATTTCCGGAGGTTAAAGATATTCCTGGCATCCCCAGCTATAAAGTACACTCCCTGCCCTTGGCTAGAACCTCCTTACCTGCTGCCAGAGCTCCCGGAGATAAACTCTTGAACTGTACGGGTTCTACAACTGAGCCTTGTGTTGAGCTCCAGAAGCCTGAACCACTTCCTTGTCTAAGGCATGCACGTGTCTACTGACTTCATCTGACCAGGTGAGGTCTCCCTCCACCACCAGAGGAGGAAGCAGGTACAGTCCCAGTAACTTTACAAATTCCATTACATAATTTCTAGATTCCAACCCATCTACATATGTTGTGTTTCCCATCCTCTTCAACTCAGAATTTCTCTGCCATCACTAAATCTTTTCTCTCCTAGTCTTCCTCCTAAAAAAGAGGTGTTCTTCCTCTATTCTCAGCAAAGACATACATGTCTTCCATTCAGCTGAGCTCAGATCAAATCCAATATTCCAGATATATAAGATTCTAATACATTTGAACAGAGGTTAATATATATCATAGAGTCCCTAACTCCAAGTAATTGACATGCAAATTAATTTTTAGTGTCCAATTGTTTATATGTTGGATACCACAAATATACAAAACAGTACTTTTGTTTGAACAAAATAATATACCTGTAACATGAATTGAGGTTCTGACACATTTTTTGTATAATGTAGATATTTAGTACGTACCAAACACCACACTGGGGAAAAAAAGTAAAACAGTTTTAAATAAAAGGTTAAAAATTTTTTAAATTAACTTTAAAATGGAAAATTATCCTAAAATATGGAAACCATTATAGTGTTGCCAGGGCAGAAAGAAGCCAGTGAAATGCATTAAAAGAGTTACTTTTAAGACTAAAAGTCCCATTTAAAAAAAAATAAATGTATGGCATAATGTATTTTCTTATATTAAAACTACTAAACTACTGAATATACTGCAAATGCTTTAATGCTCAATAATTGAATAATGCTTTAATTGCTTTAATTGCTCAATAATTGAAATGTCATTTCACTGTTATATAGACTAAGTAACATAAGACATGTATAAAAAATTAAGTATTTATAGAGTGACTACCTTTTTTATCCATCATAAGGATTGTGAGGTGAGCAATATTAGCTATCTTTCCCAAGCAAAGACCTCCCTTGCTAAAGATCTCTTTGCCATGGAATTCTGTTCCAAAGAGTTGTTTTCCCTGAAATGCAGTTTAGTGCAGTGGTAAAAAATCATGGGCTTGGAGCCAGGGTGTGACTCCTGGCTAGCCACTTTACTAGCTAGGTGGCTTTGGCAATTCCTTTCATTTCTTTTATGAGCTTTATTACTGAAGCTAACTCATAGGACTGAGGATTAAGTGAGCTAATTTGTAAATACAGTGTTTAGTATACTTCGAGATGGTAAGCACTCAATAAATGGCATCTATTACTAGCAGCTAAATCTTCCTTCCTCCACTAATTACTAGTTAATTGGTTTACACCCACCGACCTCCACTGAGGCCACAGTCAAAACATTCCTACTTAGGCCTTCTTGATCCAAAAGAATCAAACAGTCTCAATCTTATCCTGATACCTTTTTATATTCCAAGAATATTATTTCATCCTCACATACAATTCTATGAATATCTATGTATTCTGTTACTATTCCATTTTTTTCTGATGAAAAACTGAGGCACAGAGAAGTCATTTTTGTTTAAGGTCACAAAAAATTAACAGATTTATAAATCATAGAGTTGGAAACACAGAGATCATCTACTCCAACATTTTCATTTTATAGACAAGGAAAATGAGATCTAGAAACATAGATCTACCCTCCTAAAGCTACACAGCAAGTGAGTGACAATGTGAAATCCAGGCTTTTAGAACCCTATCCAGTGTTTCTCTGTACTACATTATACTGTCATATAACAAAATCAAAATTAAAAACATATGAACAAAGGCAGAAAGCTATGTACATGTTAATTTTTTAAATAAATTATAAATATATATAGACAAAAACTTGTACATGAATGTTCATAGCAACATTATTCATAATAGCCAAGACATGGAAACAACCCAATCATCCATCAATTCTATATAGATAAACAATAGTGGTATATCCATATAATGGAATACTATTAGGCAATAAAAAATGAGTGAAATATTGATACATAATATAACGAAGACAAACTTTGAAAATATTATGCTAAATGCAAGAAGCCAGACACAAACAGTCACATATTGTATTATTACATTTACATGAAATATTTAGATTAGGCAAATCCAAAGAGAAAGAAAATGGCAGATCAGTGGCTGTCTAGGACTAGGGTAGATATGGGGAGTGATTAGTAATGGACACAAAGTTTCTTTTTGGGGTGATGGAAATATTATAAAATGAAATTGTGCAACTCTAAAATCTACTAAAAATCAATTAACTGTATAATTAAAATGTTATGGTATGCAAATTTTACCTCAATAAAGCTGTCAAAACATAATTTTAAAAATAAACAAGAGAATTGCCCACTTTGTAAATCAGGACAATCTGGATAAAAATGATATGTGCACTTTAAAAAATAAAAACTAGAACTATGTAAGCAATATGTTCCAGAAAGTCTGTAAAATGAACTGCGTATGCTTAGCAATTCATCCTCCTGACTACCACTATAATTAGAACATACTGCTGTGAAAAACTTCAGCTGCAAAGACAAATTTCTTTCAACATTGTACATTCTGGATGGGGTGAAACAACGAGAAAAAAAGATTAAATGAGGGGAAGAAAGGAGAATATGAGCAATAGTGTTAAGACACTTTTCTATTCACAGGTTGCCCAAACTCTCTATTACTCTAAATCGGTTCTACAAAGGGAACTTAGATTTGCTTTTTATTTTTAACCTCAAGAGAAAATTAAAATAAAGTTCTTATTTCTTAGGGTATCTCAAAATTTTCACATCAACACACACATAGACATCCAAGATTTGATTAAAGGTTAAATATCTATTCCCTTCAATGATACTACATGTTTTAAAACAAATCAAGTTTGCTTTTAAAAAAGGTATAATATGTATCTTTGAATTAAAACAGTATGAATATTGTTCTGTATTCTCTAAAAAAAAGATTAAGAGCATCATTGAACATAAATCACTTTGAGACGTGGCCTACCCTAAAAGATGGGATCTCTAATTATGTATATTTCCTCACACATTCAAATAATAATAACAATGCTAACATTATGATCATGTTTTATTAATAAAGCACTAATATAATAATCACTTCCTGTGCATTCATATACAACTCATAACAATCCTGTGAAGATAGAATTATTATTGTCAGTCACCTTTCAACAGCAGAGGAAACAATGGCTTAGTGAGATGAAGAAAGGTTAACCTGTTCAAGGTCATGCAGCTTATAAATAGCAAAAGTAGTAGTTAAGCCGAAGGCTGTCTGAGTCCAAGGGTGTGATATTGCGATATAAAAAATATACTGTATATTTGGTCTCTGCCCCTGGTTCCTGGCACAGAACTCCCAGAAACCTTAGACTCTCTTAAGTGAAAAGTTTCTTTTTGTATGTTAACAAGATGACTGCTGACTCTCTGATAGCCTCTGGATGGGGGCTAGTTGCCTCAGAAACCAACCACATAATTAGAGGATTGGAACTTTCAGTTCCATATCCCCAACTACCCCCCACCCCTCAGTCCACCCCCTAACCCCTACCACCATCGCAGGAGGGGAGAGGGGCGGAAGGCTGAGTTATCACCAACTGGTAATCAATCATCCTCACAACAGTAAAGCATCCTCCCTAAAAACCAAAAGGCCTGGGTTCAGGGAGCTTCCAAATTGCTGAACACACGGATGTTCCTAAAGGGTAGAATGTCCATAGCGGTCATGAAAGCTCCATGCCCCCTCCCGCATACCTTGCCCTGTGTATCTCTTCCATATGGTTGTTCATCTGTATCCTTTGTAACATCTTTTATAATAAATGGGTAAATGTAAGTGTTTCCCTGAGTTCTGTGAGTCACCCTACCAAATTAATCAAATCCGAGGAGGGGGTCACAGGAATCCCAATTCACAGCAGTCAGCAGAAGCACAGGTCACAGCTGAGGCTTGGGAATGGCATCTGAAGGGTAGGGAGGGCAGTCTTGTGGGATTCACTCTCCACCTGTGGGATCTGATGCCATCTCCTGGTAGGTAGTGTCAGAATTAAGGATAAATTATAGGATACTCAGTTGGTGTCCACTGGAGAATTGGCTGGTTGCTGGTAAGGAAAAATAGCCACACACTATGGTGACCAGAAGTGAAGTGTTCTGTGTTGACTAAGTAAGAGAATCAAAGACATTTGATTTTTTTCCTGTATCTGCTACAAAGGCCCTACTCTAGATCCTAAGTTATATTATTTTTCATCCTCTTGGTAATTAATATAGTAACCTTTATTATAATATCAATAAAAATATTTAACATCCCTCAAATAGAACTGTTCATTTTTTAAGATATGATGATATTAAGGTCATGTTTTTTTAAAGAGTTCTTTATCTTGTAGTGACATATACTTTCATGAAATATGTCTGGGTATCTTAACCCATTCATGCTATTATAAAAAACCTAAGACTGGTTAATCTATAATTAGTAGAAATTTATTTCTCACAATTCTGGAGGCTGAGAAGTCCAAGATCAAGATATCAGTAGCTTCACTGCCTGAAGAAGGTCTATCCTAAAGTGAGGTTGTCATCTAAAGTGCCCTCATGTGGCAGAAGAGATAGGAGGGCAAAAAGAGTTCAAACGCTGTGTCTTCACACAACAGAAAGCAGGCACTAGAGCACTCCCTTCAACCTCAAGCCCTTTTATACGGATGCTAATCCCATTCATGAGAGCAGAGCCCTCAAGACTTAATTACTTCCCAAAGGCTACACCTCTTAATACCACCACAGTGAAGATTGAAGATTAACTTTCAACCCATGAATCTTGGGAGACATTCAGATAATAGCACTGGGATTTGCTTCAATAATGGGAAAGGGAGAATATACATGGAATAGGACTAGCCACTTGTTGATAATTGTTGAAAGTGGATGATGGGTAAACAGTGGTGCCCTTTACTATTCCCTGTTTTTGTATATTTGAAAAGGTCCATGATAAAATTTAAGAAGACTAAGTAAACATACCAACAATATATAAGAGGGAACTATAATCTTTAAAATGTTTGCAGTTAGCAATATTTTATTTCAGAATCTAAAGAGGAGGCAGAAAAGAAACTATATAAACTCTTCAAATATTCTCCTGTTCACCATCATATTCTAAGGCCCTATATGGAGAAAGATCTGAGTATTTGGACACCAGTGAAGACTGCTGAGGGAGAAGGAAGCCAATTTTGATAAATGCAATAGCCAGAAGATAAAAAGAAGCAGGCAGGTAAGCAGAATCCCAGCATGTGCCACTTTGCTGGCACTGGAGACTTTTATTCCCTGTCTCTTTAGGCCTTTTCACTTTGTGACTGCAGTCATTTTCTCAGCAGTCTCCATCTCACTCTGTCACTACTGCCATATTATACTTTTTATCAAGTGATTGTATTACTAAGAAAAGCAAAAATTTATGTCCACAGTATGCATTCACTGTGATATGTGAACAGTAGTGGTTGGTCAGAAGAATAGGCAGATCTTCTAGGTAAAGAATCAATAAATGTCATCTTGACTGATCCAGAAAAGAAACAGATTCCAAAGATTTTGAGCATGACACATATTAACACTTAAGAACATGTTCCAAATTTAATAAAAATATATTAATA